TTGTCTCGGATTCTCCAGCATCTGCAGTTCCTACTATCTCAAATGCTCTGGGGAACTGGGTTCAAATCCTGCCATGACAGATAGTGGAATTCAATAAAACTCTGGAAGTAAGTGTCTAATGATGGCCATTAATCCATTGTCGATTGCCAGGAAAAGCCCATCTAGTTCATTATTGTCCTTTAGGGAAGGAAATCTACTGTCGTTACCTGGTCTGGCCTACGTGTGACTCCAGATCAACAGCAATGTGGTTGACACTTAACAGGCCTCTGGGCAATCAGGAGTAAGCAGTAATTGCTGGCCTAGCTAGTGATGCCCACATTCATGAATGAACTTAAAAAATGCCCTCATAAGAAAAGGAAATTTTGCATAATTTCCCACTGTGGTAGAAGAATCCAACTTTTGAATACCTTCACTCATCAGCGTGATTATCCACAATGGCCACCATAATGGTCAGCTGACTGTCACACGCCACACAAAGTGTCTCTCTGTGTGTGTGCCACTGAGGGCACCAGGCTGGGGGTGATGATGGGGATGAGTGATGGAGGCTGAAGCTAATGAAGCTGAACTTCCCCTCCCTCCAGCTTCGGGAGGGACATGAACACATTGGAGAAAGTGTTGAGAACGGAAGATGGAGTCATAGACTCATAGAGTTGCACAGCATGGAAACAGACCCTTTAGTCCAACTTGTCCACGCTGACCAGATATCCTAAACTGTTCCAGTCCCATTTGCCAGGATTTGGCCCATATCTCTCTAAACCGTTCATATTCATGTACTCATGCAGATGCCTCTTAAACATTGTACCACTTCCTCTGGCAGCTCATTCCATACACGCACCAAGACAGATTGGAGAATTTGGGATTGATTTCCTTGGAGAGGAGAAGGCTAAGAGGAGATTTGATAGAAGTTTTCAAATTCAGATAAGAAGACGATGGTTTCCATAGCTTTATGACAACAGTGAACCGATTATAACAACCCCATCCTTTTACCTTCACTAGTACTGACACCAGCTTTTCATCTCTATTTTCCTCCCAACCTCAATTCAAGATCTCATATTGCCATCATGGGATTCCAGCACCCATCCTTTCGATCGCAAGTCCAACCATTGGGATCAGGAGTCCACCAATAAGATCGCTGTTCTTGGAAGTGTGCTCAGTGGCCCAGTGTGGTCCTCATCTTGGTTCTTCAGTGTGCACTTGTAGTCAACAGGCATCAGACTGTCCACAAACTAATCCCACACTCTTTTAGCCTCAGAACAGGCTCCGTATAACTCCAGCTCAATTTGGAATTAGATGATTTTGACTGGGTTAAGCTTAAAAGCTAAAGATGCTCTTGAGCTCAGTATAGAGTAACATTTATATATTTATGTTTTTAGAACTGCTCGAGTTTAGTAAGATGTCTAAACCAACTACATCAGAGCGTCATGGATGAGAGACAAGAACTGGAGAATCGTAGAGTGCTTGGAAGGCCATAGGGCTGGA